TTAGTATTTAAGAGCCGGTTAAAAAGTTTGCAGCTGCTTACTACATGTTATTCTGATAGGCGATGTTTCCAAACGGATAATTTTGTTTTCAATAAAAGAAATAAATTAGATAATTTCTGAGCTCAAATCTGCTGTATTTCATAAGATATTAATGTTATTATGTAATTCTGGGGAGTTTGGAGTGAAAATTTGCTTTAGTTATTTTGTTATTTATTACTAAAAAAAGTGACATGGCTGCTAGATTTTGAATAACTCGCCTTTTTGGCAGTCTTAATTTGGCCTCTTTCCATTTGTTTATTACTGTTTGTTCGTGTTGTAAGCTGTGCACCATCTTACGTTAGTGTTAACACTTTTAGTATTGTAAACACAAGTATTGTTAGCATTGTAAACATAAGTAATAAGTAATCAAATACATTGTTTGCAAGAATCTCAAAACACAATGATGCCAAATCTCTTTAAAATACAACTGAAACAGTAACCCGGAAATTTAGGCAGTCCCGAGCTTGCAGCGTTCCCTAGTGTAGAAAACACCATCCATAGTTTTGTCACACCAGTGCCTTAGCAACCAGACTTCGCGTTCACAAGGGTCAACCTAACGTTGGCAACGGATAATTTTTAATTGATTACTTTTTGCTTTAGATTTGTTTACGTATTTGATAAATCATTTTTATTTATTCATTAAAAATCAGTATAAAAAATTATACTAATTTATGTACCGGCATGCATACAAATCATGTGAACATGATGACTGGCTCGTGTATTCATATCGGGCGGAAAAATCACATGGTATGATCCAGCTTTTTCTGACGAAACAGTTTCATTGGTTGTCATAAGAATAAAATTAATATAAATTATAATGGAACATTCTCATTATATAAACGATTCGCATATGCGATCACACACAGGGGCGTTCGGATGGGAGGTAGCTGTGACTCCGAAACATTTTAACTTTTCGGCAAATTTTGCTTGACCAGTCGACAAAAAAAATCGAAAAAATTATTCACGAAAAATCATTTTCTCTTATTTTATTTAGAAAATACAAATGAAATTAAGGTCAAAGCGTCTTGCTTTGTTTAAATTTCAAATTTTTTGGAATAATTAGAATGTTATAAGCATAGATATATTAGTCCCTGGTTATAAGCTCCGAGGATTGATAAACAAGGGCGAAGCTTTTAATGTAATTAGAATGAAATATAAAGGAAATATTGAGACATAAAAATTAAGGTATTAAAAAGAACTTTGTAGAAAAGAATGAGAAACTTCATCGGAAGGAATTGCACATGACTCTCGGGGGTTAGCGAGAATGAACCGAGGCTTCTCTTGTGATTATAAAAGAAAATATTTAGAGCTTTGAGCAGATAGAAATTACGAGTCCATTAAATTAATTGGGGGCTCTTACAAAATCCCGTTGATGCTACGCGGAAGAAAAAAAAAACGGTAACAATCAATTTTAACTGCGAATTATCAATAGTTACTTTAAAATAATCATTTTTATTTCCTCTGCTTATAAGCTGATTTTATTTTATTTACTGATATATTATTATTCATTATGTACAATAACTGGAAAAATTAGACTTAAAGTCACTTAATCCGTATCTACTTTAATATTGTTCACTTTTTAAATTCAACTAATAAAATATATTTTAAGAAAGTTCAGTATACTTTTTATTTATAATTAATATTTCATTTTCAATTAATTAATTTATTCATTTTTAAAATTTCTAACTACTTAAATTATACTTTCATTTTAAAACACGATTCTCAGAATACCTATTTTATTTCTATCCGGTCTTCGACGAAATTTGCCGATTACTAATTAATTTGCTATTCGATTCATGGGATAGTGAAAAATTATATATTTACCTTAACTGTGAAATAATTTATTTCTTTTATTTTGATATTTATTTATTATTATTATTTATTATTATTATTTTATTAATTGCTTTATTATTGACTGGAATAAAAGTAAAGCATTCCAGCAACAGCTCTTTGTGCTCTTTGTTCATGGAGGTTAAGGGTCAACAATCTGACTACTACTGATTTTGGCAAGGTAGTCAGCATTGTGCACAGACATCCTTTACTTCCCAGACAAACTAGTACTCATCCAGGTCCCGCAGTGGACTGATCGTTAAGACACGGTTCCCAGCAGATCACCGAAGTCAAGCATCACTGGCTGCGGTCAGTGTGCGGGTGGGTGACCACTTGGATCAGTCTGCTTAGGGACCGAGGGTGTGCGGTATTGGTCCTCGTTAAACTGTGCTACCGTAAAGTGCTCGACTTCGCGCGCAGGTCGTCGGGCTACCGAATCGGGGGTGCCATCCCCTCCGCAGAGGATCAAAATTGTGATGGCATGTCTTCGGATCATCCTCCGGGATGTTTCCCAGACCGTCGCCAATAGCCCATTGTGCAGCTCTAGTGCGACGTAAATTAACAACAACAACAGCAACTCATCCAGCTGAAGCGGGGTGGGCTTCAAGCCACCACTGAGGATCGAACCCGATTCTTCATAACAGTTCAATGTCTTACCCATTTAAAAATCACAGCTCATTGACTTGAATAATTGCTCATGGACAGAATAATTAAGTATAAAGTTTGTTAACTTCCTAGGTAGGTAAGTGCTTCATTTAGATCGCACTAGAGCTTCCCAATGGGCTATTGGTGACTGTCTGGGAAACATCCCTGAGGATGATCCGAGGACATGCCATCGCAATTTTGATCCTCTGCAGACGGGATGGCCCTCCTGCTTGGGTAGCCCGATGACCAGATCGTGAAGTCGAGCACTTTACGTTAGAACAGTTTAACGAGGACAGATACCACGCACCATCGGTCCCTACGCTACGCAGGCTGATCAAAATAGGTCACCCACTCACTTACTCACCGCAGGCAGTAATGCTTGACTTCGGTGTTCTACTGGGAACCGTGTCTTTACTATCAGTCCACTGTGGGACTTGTTAACTTTATACTTAATTATTATAAATCAGTAATATATTAGTGGAAAAAAATTAACATATTGGAAAAATATTAACAGCAAAAGAAATTTTTTTTTCTACTGAAGTTAGTGAATTGCATACTTATTAATGCGTATGCTTTACAGAGTAGGCTTAAAAATTTTTTTCATACCAAATATACAGCACAAATTAAAAATACAACACAAATTAATCTTTGACAATAATTATCTTTGACTGTAAAACACTTAAAATTAATTCATAGTAGAATAACCTTCTTTTCTTACTAATGTGACTTATACAAAGGTACTGTGTGACAAATGTTTTGAAGATTCATTTCAAAATAATTTTATACATGCATATTTCAAAATAAACCTTTTGGTTTTGATATGTAATTTCAAATTTTAGAGAAAAGAAATTAAGCATGTTTTTGTATATAGTGGTTTCCATGTAAATGTCCAAATGCGACATGAATTTTGTTCTGTGATTCAATAATCAAAATTATTATATTTCGTTTTACAAAAGATTATTGTATTTTAAAGAAAGAATGTAGGTATAATTACAATGCGTATTAACTCAGTGGAAGATTTGTTATCAATACATTGAGTAGTTTATGAAAATAGTGCGCTGAAAGAGCACAAATTTGGGATTTCAAAAAGTGACAAATGAAGAAAAACATGCTATTTAAATTACAACATGTAATATGTTATTACCTATGTAATAAGATTAAAATTCAAAAACTCTATATATTAATCGATTAGAAATTATTCTCAGTCGAAGTAAAAAGTTTTTTTCAATTGTTTTTATATTTAGTTAATGATTTGTAGTCGGTGCTCTTAAAAAGTTAAATTCAAGTCAAAAAGACAATGACAGAGTTAAACCTTTAACCAGTGGCAACAATAATACACAAAGTACAAAAATCATTTTCTTTTACATTTCCCCCCCTTCTTTTTAAGGCGAAAAAAAAAAAAAAAAAACTACCCGGGTGGAATACTTTGGATGTCTAAGACAACATTTCCACCTGACTATTCTTATAAATTTTAGATATATCTCAAAACTGTGACTAAATTGATAAAGTTGCCTTATCTCTTCTTAAACCTGACGGGACATATATATCCCATCAGACGTCCCAAATAGATAATTGTTGGGATAAATAGATCCCATTTTAACATTAGATTTGCGTATTAAAATCTTTCGAACTTCTTTTATTTTATTTGGAGGGTTGGCAGCACTTGTAAATCTGTCATGGCTGTTAAATTTTGAAGAAATCACATATTTGTGAATATTTATGCATCGTTTCGTCAGAAAAATAACTGAAATAGAGCTAAGAAAAAATGAGTATTTTTTATATGCTTTTATGTTGTTTTGAATCATAATTTGTGTAAATTTCAAAGTTTATTATTTTATTATCATTTGTCACCATTTGATACTGATAGGACAAAATATGTCCACTGAGAAGGACTTATGTGACAACAATGATCCAGGGCTTAGGTGCAGGAAGTGAGTCCAGATAGCAAGAAGTGAGAATATTATCAATAGTACAAAAAACAATGTCCTGTCAATCAAAAAATTATTTCGATAAAAATTAGAAATCGATCTTGAAACTTGCATTAATATAGTTGCAGTCCATCAGGCTAAGTAATTTTTGATAGAAACAAACAACCTATTCATATAAAAAAATTATGCTCCTTTATTTTTACTTGAATCAGTTTCCAACATTAAAAATAAGGAGTAATAATTGAATATTTTAATAACAATTAAAAAGGAAAAACAATAATGAAAAATATTATTGCTTAAAATTATCGCAAAATTTAAAATACTTTTTCAGAAATTTTATCGATTAAAATTTTTTTCAATTAAAAAAAAAGGAAAAGAAGTTAAATTTTCTGGCTGAAAATCATTTGTTTACATAATACGGTGAATAATAATTTAGTGAAGAGGATTTAAAATGAGTCATTTAAGTAGTAAAGAAATCATCGAAATATCGACGGAAGAACTTTATTGAAGTTATTTCACTTCTATGTGAAATTTTAAAAAAATGGTAAAACGAAACAGCAAATTAATACGCATAATGTTGTACATAATTACTCAAATTTCTCACATGAAAGTTAGAAACGAAATACATTTGCTACCGCTCTTAAAAGCGAGAGAAGCGATCAATTCTTTTTCATTTGAAAGTAAATTCATATTTTGAAACCTTTCTTATTTATAACGCTAACAAGGGATCGCACTACGGTGTTTAGGTAAAATTTCTTTTCGGAAAATCCGTTGCTTAGCTGTCCTACTAAAAAAAAGAGAGAGATAGAGAATGATATAATTTTTTCTGAGCAGTGGATTTTTTGACGAATTTTCCCTTTAACATCGTAGTGTGTTCTCTTTTAAGTGATTTAGATATTTATTTTAATAGATTGCCCCGGCACCGAGAAAGAAAGGTTTCCGAGGGATTGTTCAAATCTGCCACAAGAAATGAAAAATGAATCTGGAGTTTACCTTATACAGATGGATATGGCACAAAGACCAATTTTTGTGTATTGTGAAATGGAAGTTGATGGTGGTGGATGGACGGTAATTACTATTTTATATTAGTGAGACTTTTTACTATTTTAATTAAATAATAATAATAAAATAATAATAATAAAATAATAATAATAATAAAATAATAATAATAATGAAATAATAATAATAGTAAAATAATAATAATAAAAACATTTATTCACAGTATTGTTTCTTTAAAGGATTTGGCGTATGATTCGATTGAAAAATATTACCTTTATATCTGAAAAAAAAAATCAACCATCTATTTATATGCACTAGATTTTCCTCTTTTCGACTTAATAAATTTTTTTCAAAAAATATTTCATTAATGTTAAAATCATATTTCCACGAAATACAACGCCCATGTTTTAATAGGAGACCGGTTTCAAATTAATCCTGCTTTGGGAAAGATTAGAAAAAAAAGAAAAAATCGTAAAGTGCTTTTGAAGTGTAAAATGATTTAGCATGTTTTAGACTAAATAGGATTTTTTCAAAAATATTTCATTAATATTTATAGTTATGTATGGATTTTTCCGAAAAATATAATATACCCATATTTTAATATTAAACCGGTTTCAAATGAATTCTGGGTTGGGAAACATTATAAAAAATTCGGAAAATATCCTTTCTAATGTTAGCTTTGGACTTTGCATGTTTAGGACTAAATAAGATTTTTTTAAAAATATTCCATTAAAATTTATAGTCATATATGGCTATTTCCGCAAAATATGACACCCATACTTTAATAGAAAACCAGTTTCAAATGAATCTTGTTCAAATGAAAAATGTGTTATTTCTATCGTTAGCTCTCACATTACACTGCATGTTTTGGATTGAAAAAGGCTTTATTAAAAAAAAAAAAANAAAAAAAAAAAAAAAAAAAAAAAAAAAAAAAAAAAAAAATTCTGCTAGTGTTTATAACCTTATATTAGTACATATTTCCTTCAGCATTTTGATATTATCCATGACGCTCATGTTTTAATATAAAACTGGTTTTAAATTAAACGCGATCTTAAAATTGTAAAAAAAATCTGCGAGAAGTCTATTTATAGGTTTGCACTAGTTTGCACCATACTTGCTTTGCTTACATGCTACGGACAAATTAAGACTTAAAAAAAGAAAAAAAAATTGCTGATATTTTTTATTTTATTTAAGCGGACTTTTTCGGGAAATATAACTCTCATACATTAGTATGAAATCCGATTTAATAAATCCTGCGTTGAAAAAATTAAAAAAAACTTAATCCTTCTTTGTGTGAGCTCCATACACATGATTCGGCCTTAGCTGCTTTGTACTAATTTTTTTTGTTGATATTTTATTTCTTTTCAATATTTTATGTATACATTTTTACACATATATGGGTATTTTTGGAAAATATGACAGTTCCAAATCAATCTCAGATTACAAAAAATTGGCCTAATTCCACCTTTATGTTAGAGAATTGGCTTGCAGAGGTTGATGGATGCGCCTTAATTAGCTCTTGAGAGACTAAAATAGTAACTTACGAAATTAAAAAGCAAGCAAACATTGGAACCATATATGTTCATAAAAACATCGTTTTGTATTTTAAATTCATTTTTAAGTAAATACTGAAAAATAATATTTTATTCCTTAGGAAGCCATGTACAGGAACCATACATGTTCATAAAAACATCGTTTCGTATGTTAAATTCCTTCTTAAGTAAATAAATACAGGCGGAAATATATTTTATTCCTTAAGAAGCCATTTATTTAAATCATACATGTTGATGAAAACCTAGTTTCGTATTTTATATTCATTCTTAAGTAAATGCGGGCGGAAATATCATATTTTATTTTCCAAGAAACCATATATTGGAAACATATATGTTCATAAAAACATCGTTTCCTAAACATATATTAAAACCATACATGTTGATGAAAACTTCGCTTCGTATTTCATATTCATTCTTAAGTAAATGCGGATAGAAATATCATATTTAATCCTCAAGAAATTTTACACTATAGCGAAGTATTTACATAATACTATTATTGAGAATTATATACATTATAGCAGATAGCTAGTAACAGATTTAAAATTTTAATGTAAATACTCGTCGATTTTTTGCCCCCTTTGATTGGGTGCCTGGTAGAACTGAGCTCGAGCTTGCTTTTCGAGTTCCGAACCCGAAGAATTTTAGCCAGATATACATAGGATTACTTAGAGCTCTAGTCCGCCCGAGTCTGACTGATAAGCAGGAGAAGCAGTTCGTTCTAAATTTTTATACCCTTATAAATTTTACATTCTTTATACTTAATAACGGAACCAAAACGTTTGTTTAAAAGTAGTAAGAAAGTTTATGAAAATTTTGTCATGAATCTGAGATAGCCCGAACCTGAAACATTTTCTTCAGTAAACGAGCCCGATCCTCCAACGGGCCAGAGCTTTAGGGCTCTAGAACTCAGCCCGAGACTGGTTCAGTCTAGCTCAGCCCGAGTCTCATCTCTAGTGCCTGGTCCTTTTACCTTCCCCCCCCCCCTGGTGTAATTCAGATTTTTCGCTCGCTCTTTATTATTTAATTTCGTCTAATACCCTAACTTATAATTTAATAGTTTGTATAATTAATTTTAATTATATATCAAAGGCTACACCCTCTGCTCGATATTGCTAGCCAATCTTCAACTATTTGCGTACTTCTTCATGATCACGCCAAGATCTAAACTAGTTGTACACGCGAATTTTTTTTTCTTGTGATTTTAAACAAGATTGCTTGCTTGATGAAACTTAAAAAATAACTTTTTTCTCATGTTTCATTCCTCCAGCTACCAAGCAGGTTTTGAAGTTTTCAGTTCTTCCTTTCTCAATCTTGAATCGCTAGATTGGAATAACATTTTCAATATTTTATTTTCCTAAATATTAATTTTTGACTCTAAGTGGGTACGCTTTCTTAATATCCTTTTTAATAAGGCCAATTAAAAATGTGAATTAAAAGCAGTCATTACATTAAACATGTAATTATCCCAAACATAGTTTCATTGGAATTTAAGATGTCAGCATTATTTTAAGGACACTTTGCAATTATTTTTTTTAATATTTCCTAATAATTTGAAACTGGTTTCATAGCAATAAAAAGGTGTTTTCTTTTTTCTGAAAATATGCACTTATGCCCAGAGAAATTTATAGAAAATCTTAAAGTAATACAAATTTAGTCCGAGACACCCAAGTCTATCAGGCATTCTCCTGCGCTCCATTGCGTTGTCAGTCTTGAAGACTGACGAGCGATAGCGATCTAAAAATTAGAAAATACGACTGTTTTGCGTGAATTTTGATACGATTTATGTTACCTGTTTTACCTTACTCTAAGAAAAATGATACTTAAAAAACAAACAATAAAATGGAAATTTTAAGATATCGACTAGATTAATATAATGAATTTTAAAATTATTTATATTGGCAAAACATTCTGCTAACCTTTTTCCTTTTAGGTTTTTCAAAGACGCCGAGATGGATCTGTGAATTTTTTTCGAGAGTGGCAAGATTACAAGTATGGTTTTGGAAATATTGGTGGAGAGTTTTGGTTAGGTAAGCATACATCTTATTTCTATAAAACAGTAAAATGTAGCTTTTTTTTAGCGATATTTAATTTTGGAACAGCACAAACTTGTCGAGTGTGGAAAGAGTCTGGAAAATTATAACCTTTTTCAGGATTGTATAATGCTTATGCGTTATTTATAGTTAAGTTATGTTAACTTTTTACAAGTAATTTAATTTTTTGAAAGAAATTTAGCTTGAAAGGTTAAAAACAAGTAAATAAATAAATTATTTATCATTTCATTTTTTTATTTTTTTTTATTTACTCATTTTTTTATCATTTTTTTTATTTTTATTTACTCATTTTTATAGGATAAATTGGATTTCGAAGATATTCCAATGCAAAATCCGAAATAACGATAATAAAAAAAATAAAAAAAACAAATTNAAAATAATAAAAAAAAAAAATTAAAAAAAAAAACAAATAAATAAATAAAAAATAAATAAAAATGTGTTTTTAGATTATTTAGTTTAAGAACTTTTTTATGGCATAACTTAATCAGTGTAGAATTCAGGAAGAGTATCACTACTGCAAAATTCATAGCAATAATAATGATAATGAAAATGATATTAAAATAAAAAAACATGAATTAATAAATAAATAAAACAAAATTTATCATGCATTCTTGTTATTATTATTTTCGTTTTTATTATTTTATTTTTTTATTTAATTTTATTTGTTTATTTATTTAAGTATTTTTTGTTCGGAAAAATCAGATCGTTGTAGGAGTCGAAGAGAAACACTACTACAAAATATACAATTTTAATTATAAAATCAAAAAATACGAAAATAAACTAATGTTGTATTAAAATCGATAATTATCATATTTTATTTCGTTGATTCGGAAAAATTGATGCAATTTAGGGTTTCAGAAAAAAACACAGCTGTAAAATTCAAAATAATCAGTAAATAAAACGATAATTAAGAGATGGGATGAATTCGATAATTATTATGTTTTATCTATTTGTTTTTTTTTCTTTGAATAAACGCTCGTATAATTATAATAATATAATAAATTCTAAAGTAAATTAATTAATTAAATTGATTTACATATATTTTTTATAACCTTTTTTGGCGAAATCAGATCTATGCTCAGCAGATCACTGAATGACAACAATGCAAAATCTAATATTATAATAATAATATAATTCTACTTAATACAAATTCAAAAACATTGTTTCAAGAGAATAAGTTGTAATTCTGTTAAAAGAGAATAGTACAGTCAAATTCTAAGAAGAAAAAAATTATAAAAAACCGGAAAATATCGTGATTTGTGGTAAACTCGCATAAATATCTCCCATAAAAATAAAAATCACAAGAAAATTTTGAGGATTAACCCATATTCGGCCAAAAGCGCGTAAATGCACCATTCTAATAAATATTTTTTTTTAACACTGCGACGCACTAATTTTATTTTTCTGCTATTTTAAAGGTTTTTGTTAAAGGTAAAGACATTTATAAAATATCAGCAATTTAATTGGAGCAAGCACTTATTTCTGTTGAGAAATTTTCAAAATACTCTTGTTTTTTAAATTTTCTACGGTTATTAGCAAATTCGACTTTTTAAAAATGCATTATCATTCCACTTGAGATTAATCCTATGTTTTTAGAATGGATTAAAGTAGCTCGTTCAGTAAATAAAACACAACTAAAACTAATGTTATAGAAAAAACTAGAGTTAAACTAAATGGTTTGTCTATTGATTTGGCCAATGGGACATATACGCACCAAAATGACCCGACATTTTTTAAAATTTCCATGTTTGGCCTAAAATGGAGGAAAGGAGGGGCAAAAGATAGGAGAAATTCAATACTCAAATTTAGGCAAATTAAGTATGATCGCTTTTATTACATTTCGTTTACGCGGAATTGAATTGAATAAAACTTAACCCGTTTTGTCCCGAGGATATATATTGATATAATGCAAAAAGTGGTTTTATGGAAAAAGTGGTGAAATATATTATCGAAATTAATTGTTTTTTCTACAGTTAGAGCATTCAAAAAGTCTTTGATAGAGCAAAAAGTACTTGCTCTTTATATTTCTAGATCTAATCAGAAATAACTAAATCATTGTGGTATCTGAGAATTTTTTAATTCACCCAGATAAATGAAAATACTGAAAAAAGTTTCCCACCACAATGAATGTCTGTGAAAAAAGGAACTGTCCTAAATATATGACGCTGGGCGTTAACCGGTTAACGCAATATGATAGGAATAGAAGTTATAAGGGTTTGTATTTTATCTCATTCAAATCTCGTTAATAGGCACAAATTAAAAATGCACATTTTTTATAAAAAAGAAAAAAAAAACTCTTATAACAGATAAACTATTAGTTCTGCCTTCTAAAGAACAATAATTAAATTCTCCCTGCCTTTCTACCTTCTTACTTAAACACTCAATAGAATTTCTTGAGATTTTTATCTGAGGCCACTTGAGTCTTCCATGAAAAATTTCCAATACTTACTAAAGAATTCCTTTCGCCAGTTATCCAGAGAATTGTCTTTGTAGTCATGAAATTAAATTACTTCAAATTGGGATATGGGTAAACTATTGAGATAGATTTTGACAAGAGTCGGCCTGAGAAGTTTTTAAAGTTTCCTTCTTTAAATGCGTTTTTCTTGTTTCCATAGCAGCTGATAAACTCAGCCTCTGCGGCGGGAGGGGTTCTTCGGTTAGACACATAGTAGATACCGACTTGTTATTGTGAATATATACCTAAATCTCGTTATTGTGAATATCTACCTAAAACTTAATGTTTTTGTTTCGAAATGTGTTATGCTTTTTGTTTCGCGTTCAGCGGAAATTAACTTTCACAAGTTTAAAATGACGAGTTTGGAAGATTTACTTGGAAGATGGAGGATTCACTTGGGGGCAAGCATGGAAGTTGGGCAATTTACACAGGGTAAACATGGAAACTGAATGATTTTCATGGTGTCAATCAAGGAAACTGAAGGATTTACATGGAGAAAATTAAGCATAATATCTGAGAGCAATAAGAAAAATATCATGTAAGCAATTATATATCCCAAGTCAAAATTCTTGATGGTCCCATCAAATAATTCTTATGGTTTATGTTGGTTTCAGTGCGATTCATAACGGTTTAACATCACTTGATGGTCACCATCATCCAACATTTTCCATTACGTGTTCATGGTTTTTGTTTGGCAAGATGGTCACCATGCCAACAAATTTCCATCATTCCATGATGGAAAATGCTACTTTAATACTATGATTCTTAACCCTCAACAGAAGTTTAACTATCTTGGACCAGCAATCCATGATGATCCGCAATGGTTCTAGCTATGCATTTCCATGATTGTTTAATGAGAATTCTTGTTGGTTCTGAGGAATATATCATCAGAACAATTTTTTTTAATGTTGGACCATCATAAATCAGTCCGAATTCCTACATTAGGATGATGGTTGTTCATGATCGCTCCAACATTTGATTTTTATGATATGTTTTAAATTCGTGATGGTTCAAGCGTGAACAAACCATCTAAACAAGTTGCTATTCTAATGTTGGACTATCATAAATCAGTCTGAATTCCTACATGGAGGTAAAATATAGGTTACCATCAAAAAATAATGGTTCATGATGGAATTATTGATGGTTACCATCAGGATTATGTTGGTGCATCAATGGAAAAACATCAAAAGTTTTGACTTTGGTAATCAATTATATAAGCAGGCGTGCAATAAGAAAATATGTTTCTACATCATTTTATTTTTACTGCATTTCCAAATAATTTCACATTTATACTCAACACATAGGACTGTAAGCAATGCGTTAGCAGCCCCAGGATGGTATAGATTTTTTTCTTCCTTTTTGTGCGCCTACTTTGTACTTTCATTACAGCTTCATGATTTTTTTGAATCCACCTTCTTATGGAATTTTTTTCGCCATGTCACTGATGAGTATTACGAATGTTTCCAATAATAATTCCAACTTATGGTACTAAGCATTTTAATATTGGCTGTTTATTTAAGGGAATGAAAATATCTATCAGATGACTCATCAAGATTTGTATGAATTGCGTGTTGATTTGGAAGATTTCGATAACGAAAAAGCTTTTGCAATATACAGTGCTTTTGCTGTAGGCAGCGAAAAAGAAAAATACATGTTGAAACTTCTAGGGCCTCTTAAAGACGGGAATGCAGGTAATATATTTCTAATATTTGTTTATTTTAAATCTAGTATTTGAATTTTTTTTATAAACTAGGGGTTCAACCTCTGCTTGCTGTCGCTTGCCTACCCAGATTGCTTTTGTAGTAACTTTTGTTTCTTGACGATTAGCAAATTTATAAAATCAAAATTGAAAACAATTCGGTTAAAAGATTGCTTTATTTTATTAATACAGATTTGCTTTCACAGATTTAGTATCTCGATTCGACTGCGAATAAATTTAAACCAAATCATTCTGTTAGTTTATTGTTGCGACTTCATCTACGAATTCGTTTTTAAAATTTTCATTTTATTTTTGGATATTATTAAAATTCCTCATACGTTTTTCGCCCTCGAGATTATTTTTAGAAATCTTATGAAAAATTAATTTTCATTGTTTTTTGGTGAAAATTTGAATTTTGCGCCAAATTATTCGTTGGTATTTTTTCGAAAATATGTATTTTACAGGTTTCCGGAAATTTTATTAGATAAAATGCAAAATAAACATTTTATTATCTGTTTGTGTCTTTTTCCAAAAACGCAGATTGATTTCAAAATGAGGTTTATCATTAAATTTGCTTAAAGCTCTCGCATTTATCTTCCTATACAACTTTGAGCTATATAAATTTCAATTATTCTTTTTACATCACGCATTTACTTACATTTAAATAAATAAAAAATTGAATAAATGGACCTCCACGTTTGGAAAGAATTTAACCATAGATAGTGTGGGAAACCGAAGTCGTTTAATTGAATTGATGAGCACCCTTGTCACCATACTAACAATAGAAAAATATTTCGTTGTTCACTTTCAATGCAGTCAAAGCCTCAATTCCGATGCATAAGTTTTTTTTCTGTTGTCATTTAAATGTTAATAAAAGTGCTACAAATTTCAATATTGTCTTAGAAAAAAGACTTTTGCCTAAGAGCGAATAGTAGTAGCGAATGTAGTTGGGGCCGATTTTCCTGTTTTTTTCCTTTGTTTTTTAACATTATTTCTGATATTTCTTATCTAGAGCCAAAAGTGAGCATGACTGAAATAACTGAAAAAAAAAATGATTAAAGAATAACCAAAGTCGTTTAATTGAATCCATGAGTTCGAAAACTAGTCCTCTACACTTTCTTTTCAAAATTGAGTTTCTTGCATTTTAGAGTTTAGCTGACGTAGATACGTAGTTAGGATAAAAAAATTCATGTCCTCCTACTTGGCATAGCATACTTTGTGTAGTGAAATCTCAATTTAGTTCGAAAAAATGCCATTTTCTGGAGATGAACTGTTCTCGGAAGAAACTTGGAAATACACGCATGGACAAAAAAATTATGGCGCCAAGAAGAAGTCTTCAAAATGAAACGAAATTTTACATACGTAATGACTACTTTGATATAAGTAAATGATTAGAAAATCAAAGATTGTCGTTTTTCTTTGATTTTCTAATAATTTACTTATATAAAAGTAGTCAGTCATTAGGTATGTAAAATTTCGCCTCGTTTTGACGATTCCTTCTTGGTGCGCTAATTTTTTTGACCATGAGTGTATATCGCTAGATAGTAACAGTTGTTGATTATGAAATTATTCGCATTACATTACAATTAATTGTTTATTTTAGGCTTGTTATTTTATTGACTTTTATCACACAATGAGTGATTCTGAGGATAGTTCTTTATATGGTATATAATGAGAGCTAAAACTAACTATCAACTGTTAAGGAAATGACTACAAATAATATGCCACTTGATTTCAAAAGCAGGTGGCCGGAGCATGATGAGAAAAATGTGTTGTCATAAGACTCCTAAGGAAAAACAAGAAAGGAGAAACAATAGTTTCAGGTCTCACATTATAGCAATTTTACTTATACACATGGCGAAATTCAAGTATCTACTTTCATTGGTAGTTTATGCTAATTAATATTAACTCATTACATAAAATAGTACCCTAAAAGTGGCTACATCAGTTTAGGAAGCATATTTTGTAGAAGTTGCCATAAGCCACGAGAAAATTGCAGGCATCGAAAAAGTTTTTACAATTTAAACCAAATTAGTTTTGGTCTTTCTATGAAGAAGTTTGTAAGGAGCCTTGCACAGATTGTCGTAATCCAAAATATTTTTGAACATACACAAATATCCTTGAATATGTAGTCTACGACTTAAATAAAATCTTTATTTAATTTCTAAATGACAGATTATTATTTTCGCTTGTGAAAAAAAATGTATAGAATTCGTTTTACGATTTTGTCCGAAAACCGGCCATCTCCAAGTTCTAGTTATTTTTTAAATTAAAAAAATTAAGTAATGCTATCACTTAACTGCAGTAGAATATTTTGTAACCAGCTATTTTTTAATATAAAAAAAAGCTCTATATAATCAATACACAGAGTTATACGTGTACTGCTAAGAGCTATTTAAGTTGATAGATTTTCTCGTACCGTGACTTAACTCAATAATCGGAAAAACTGAGATTGTAATATAATTAATTACTTATTATATTTATGGGTAAAAAAGTCAAAATCAATGTACAATGTATAGAGCATAGAAGCACTACCAAAATCTTGTTGACATGGATTTTCATTCATCCATCGTGCCAAAAATGCTCAAGCTAATGATTGAAAAAATATCTGACAATGATACCTTATACCAATTAATTACTTATTAAATATATGGTTAAAAAATTCAAAATTAATGAGCAGAACATGGGTGAACCATGAAGAGCTATTTATGTTGATTTGAATTTTCTACCAAAAGAGTGAATAGCTTTTTAAACGTGGCAAGTAATTTAGATACAGTGCAAAAACCGGTACAAAATTCGATAAATTTTCCCGCCATTTAAAAAAATTTTTTTTTTTCCCTCATGAGATTTTAGGATTTTTCTTTCTTTTTTGAAAGATGTTTACCTTACCATCATTTTGGAAATAATCATTAGTGTAGTACTTCACCGTTTTTTCTTCTTTTTAAGATTATTTCCAAAATTTTTTTTTTTTAGTTGGGTTTAACAATAAAAAAAACGGCTTTTTGTAGCGATTCTGAAAACCGGAAAAATCAGTTATCCGGAATAGCGATGGTCCCGATCGTTTCGGATAATCGGTTCCCTACTGTATATATATATTATGCCAAGTTATTTAATTTGAGATATTGCAATCAGAATTAGATTTACAATTAGAATAAAATGCATTTAAAAATGCTTTATGTAAGCATTAGACCAACTATTCTCAGCAATTTTAAAAACTGCTTTAAAAACTTACTCTTTTATTATTTTTTACCACATATATTTATAGATAATTTATTTCACGATTTTTCTCACTAATTTAGTATAGGACAGTATTTATGCCATTAATTAGTAGATACTTTCCTTCTGAATTGAATTTTTATTTTTTTTTTGGAATAGGAAGAGGCCATTTTAAAAATCTTTTCAACATTTTTATTTAATGATAATTTTAGGGCAAAATGCATGAATTTTATGAGAGTAAAATCATTCGCTTAAATATTTTTATATAAATATGAGTGTTTGTATAAATCTTTGTCTAATTCATAGAAGTCAATTAGTTAGATTTAACAGCCTTAAGAATGTTTTTTTTAAAATAATTTTGTTAACTTATCCTGGGATTATACCTGAGAAAATTGATGCTTGAATATTTTTCTAAATATATAACTTCTATATGTATACTTTTTTTATTTTAAATGTGCAACTTTCATTTAATTTATGATGCTGTTAAGGAAAACATTAATATAAAATCGAATTATTTTGTCTATTTTTCATTTTTTGTCTCGTTTGAAATGATTTTTAATTCTTTTTTCTTTGTTCACTGTAACTTTGTAGTAAATATTTGATTCTAAGCATCCTAAAATTAGTTTTCCATATACATTAAAAATCCAATTTTTACTACAAAGTTACAGAAAGCAAAACAGAAAGAATTAGTTAAAAATAATTTTAAATGAAAAAAAATTGACGAAATAATTCAACGTTTATGTTTTTTCAGCATGTTTTTTCTTTAAAAACATCATAAATTAAATAGAAAAAATATACTGGATTTCTAAGTTTCTGATTGCTTCTGTTATTGTTGGTCTAATTTAAATCACTTGATTTCAGTCATGATTAAAATTGTAATTTAAATCATTTGAATTTGTTTAAAAAAATCACTTATTTAAATCAGCTGTATTTTTTTAAAAAAAAGAACGTTAACTTAAATGAACATAGTTTTTATAGCATTAATTATGAATTAATTTAGAAAAAATTATTAATATATGTTTTAAATATTTTCATGCAGTGTAATTAATAAATACATTCCTTAAGGTAGGGATTCTTAAAAATCTAATTTAATTGATAATGCATGTTTATTAAGGAAGTGATTTTCTTACTATGAAATAAATAAAAGGCATATGCATTGAAATTACTATTATATTATCCCTTTCATTATTTCATTAAAAAATGCATTAATGCAAATCAAAAGTGATTTAAAATAAGTAAATAAATCAGTAATTTCAACAAAATGATGAAAAATATTAATTGAAAAAAATATTTCTATACAATTAAATAATTGAAAACATTCTTTTGATAACTATTTCTTTGAGTTCGATTTTATTGATAACGAGGATTTCTTTACTAAGAAATATCGAAAGTGATATGCATGTAAATTATTATGTTTCAAAATAGACTGACTATACGTGCATAAGTGTGATATGAAACTTTTAAATAGTAGTTTTTCATTTAATACATTTAAAATAATTTTCTGGCTAAATACATATTTCAATTACACCCATTTACTTCTTTGCTAATTAAAATGCAGTGCTTTTATATCTTATTCAATATGTAGTCAGATTGTAGCAAGACTTCCTCAAACCAGAAAGACGTTTTTTTTTTTCAGTTGTGTTTTCTTACCTAAACTAATTAATTTCCATCAGGTATCAAGTAGAAAAACTGTCTCCAGATTTTTAACAATCATTATCATAATTAATTAATCATGATTAATGAGCCTGAAAAATATAATTGTGATTCTTTTTTTAACTCAGTGATTAGTTTATAAAAATATGATAATTTTATCCATTTTAGTAAGAAATATTAACTATTTTAGTTTTATTTCTTTTAAACAATAGTATTATTAAAATCTTTTATCAGATGCTTTGAATGGCAAATTTTAAAAAATCCAATAAATTTTATTTAAAAAAAAATATCAGATTCAAATCAAATATATACGATTTTGGAGTAAAAAAAAATATATTTGCCAACCATGGCTTCTGGTCAGAGTTATAGTCATTAACTTTTTAGTGTATTAACAGTAAAAATTAGAATATTTTAAGTGGAAATCTTTTTTTAAAAAAATAATATGCAGAAGTTTGGTTTATATAGACTGATTTAAAATTCATTAAAATCAAAGTTTTAAATATTAAAGTAAGGTTTTTACAATTTAATTAAAATTTGGTGCTTCACCCAGAACGTTTACTTTTTAACTAATTTAAGACAATAAGTTGGCAAAGTTTTTTAACCGATATTCTTGCAAGAATTGCATCGGTCTAATTAAAATTTAGACCGATTTTCAGAACTTTAAAAGCTCCTTGTCATTTTAAAATGAACAGAATTTTTTTTTCATAGTTTAAATATAGTTTGCATTTTAAAATTACAGAAATATCAAAATTTAGAACACATAAAAAACTCATTTTAATTGAAAATTACCAAAAGATGGAAGAACCTTATTGACATATCCCCCCAACCCCACAATACTTTAGCTTCTGATAAAAAATATTAGCGAAGCGACGTTTCTATCAGAAATTGGAAATTGTTTTATTGCTTAATTGAAGTAGGAGCGATGGTCATAAGGGTTACCTTGAGCGCAGTAGACCAGCCTTTTTCAAGGGGGATAAGATGTTAGCAGTAGCAGTCCACCATGTTTTAAAAAACCATTAGCGCAATCCGCTATCACCGCTTAAAATATCGTTAGCACTAATTAATTTGCATATTTGAGGTCATCCCCTCGAACCATTAAGATTGAGTCTCAAAACGTAATTATTCAGAACAATCAATAGATCGCAAGTTATTCAGTGTGGCTCGTTTTATATTTCGCGCACTGTACAACATGGATGGTGTTTTCAATATACACCGAAGAGCCCTNTGTTTTCTTACCTAAACTAATTAATTTCCATCAGGTATCTAGTAGAATAACTGTTTCCAGATTTTTAACAATCATTATCATAATTAATTAATCATGATTAATGAGCCTGAAAAATATAATTGTGATTTTTTTTTTAACTCAGTGATTAGTTTATAAAAATATGATAATTTTATCCATTTTAGTAAGAAATATTAACTATTTTAGTTTTATTTCTTTTAAACAATAGTATTATTAAAATCTTTTATCAGATGCTTTAAATGGTAAATTTTAAAAAATCCAATAAATTTTATTTAAAGAAAAATATCAGATTCAAATCAAATATATACGATTTTGGAGCAAAAAAAAAATATATATTTGCCAACCATGGCTTTTGGTCAGAGTTATAGTCATTAACTTTTTAGTGTATTAACTGTAAAAATTAGAACATTTTAAGTGGAAATCTTTTTTTAAAAAAATAACATGCAGAAGTTTGGTTAATATAGACTGGTTTAAAATTCATTAAAATTAAAGTTTTAAATATAAAAGTAAGGTTTTTACAATTTAATTAAAATTTGGTGCTTCACCCAGAACGTTTACTTTTTAACTATTTTGAGACAATAAGTTGGAAAAATTGTTTGACCAATATTCTTGAAAGAATTGCATTGGTCTAATTAAAAGTTAGACCGATTTTCAGAACTTTAAAAGCTCCTTGTCACCTTAAAAAGAATTTTTTTTTCTTCATAGTTTAAATATAGTTTGCATTTTAAAATTACAAAAAATTTACAACATATAAAAAACTCCTTTTAATTGAAAATCACCAAAAGATGGAGGAACACTTATTGATATATCCCCCCCCCACAGCACTCTAGCTTCTGACGAAAAATATTGGCGAAGCGATGTTTCTATCAGAAATTGTTTTATTGCTTAATTGAAGTAGGAGCGATGCTCATAAGGGTTACCTTGAGCGCAGTAGACCAACCTTTTTCAAGGGGGATAAGATGTTAGCACCGCAGTCCACCATGTTTTAGAAAACCATTAGCGCAATCCGCTATCACCGTTTAAAATATCGTTAGCACTAATTAATTTGCATATTTGAGGCCACCCCCTCGAACCATTAAGATTGAGTCTCAAAACATAATTATTCAGAACAATCATTAGATCACAAGTTATTCAGTGTGGTCCGTTTTATATTTTGCGCACTGTACAATGTGGATGGCGTTTTCAATATACACCGAAGAGACATTACATTATGACCATCCTGCTAATAACATGTAGGACCACCTTTAGTCATCAAAACTGCTAGCACCCGACGTGGCATTGATTCCACAAGGTGCTGATGGGTAATCTGAGGTATCTGGTACCAAGCGCTCACCATCTGGTCCTGCAATTCCCTCATATTGCGAGGGGGAAGCGTAGCAGTATGAATTTGGTTTTCCAAGTAGGACCACAAATGCTCTATTGGATTAAGCTCAGGTGAATTTGGGGGCCAAGACATGACTTGAAAGTCACTGGAATGTTCCTCGAACCAATCCATGACGATTCGTCCTTTATGACATGGTGCATTATCCTGTTGGTAAACACCATCCCCGCAGGAAAAACTGTTGCCATGAATGGGTGATGGTCTGCAACTATGTTCAAGTAGCTTACAGACGTCAGGGATTGTTCTATGAGGATTATGGGTCCTAATGTGCCCCATGAAAACATTGTTCCTGGGCGAGAAACCATGAAAACCTGGGCGAGCCCATTGTTATAGATGGAGGGTGGTCATAATGTAATGGCTCTTCGGTGTAAATGCAAACAACAACAATCTCGAGCTCTTGACCTGCTTTACTTCTGCTTACAAGGTATACAGCTGTTTACTACAGCTTAATCTGCGAGGCGATATTTTAAAACTGATTTTTTTGTTTTTAACCAAAGAAATAATTTATGTAATTTTCAAGGTCAAATATGCTGTATTTTATAAATTATTAATAAAATTAAGTAATTCTGGCGAATATTTGTCTTAGTTATTTAGATATGTATTGTTAAAAAATGTGACATGGTTGCTAGATTTAGAAAGAACTCGATTTTATAGCAGTTCTGATTTGGTCTCTTTTTACTTGTTTATGACTGTTTGTTCTTGGTGCAAGTCTTGCACCATCATACGTTAGTGTTAGAATATTATTCGAGATTAAGTTCATTTTACGAATTATCATTTAGGTTTAAATTTCAAAATTGGTATATTCAGTGGCCCCCATCCCCCCCAAGCTCTTGGGCGCATTCTTGGGCAAATTCTAATTCCCCCCCAAACTATTCGTTTTATTTAGCGTAAAAATTCCCCCCCCAACCTTTAAGTGGGCGCATCGTGCGCCCACCTTCCCTTCTGATGGAGGCCCCTGGGTATATTGTCCACCAGGTGAGAAGTGTTTTATAACGATTCTTTTTTTCAAATGACAATTCTTACGTCTTGAAATAACAGGTCTTCAAATGAAGATTCTTATAACGATTCTTTATTTAAACACAAATAAATCAGGTAACAAATACACAAGAAATAACTTAAGAGAGTCTCAAAACACAATGATCACGTTCTGAGCCAAATGGTTTCAAAACACGTCAAAAACACTAACCTGGAAATATAGGCCGTCAAGAGCTTACAGCTCTTAACAAGGTAGAAAACACCATCCATTTCATTGATTCCAATAATTGGCTTTGTTAATTTTAGTACTATAACCCTTCTTAAAATGCATTACAGGTGATGGTCTGACGTATCATGCCTCAATCCCCTTTTCGACTAAAGACTTAGATTACGATCTGTGGGAAGGAGGACATTGTGCCCTGGATCATTCAGGAGGGTGGTGGTACAACCAGTGTGACGCTAGCAACCTGAATGGCAAATATCTTCAGGGAATTAATCCAAACGAATATCAAGGAGTGTATTGGCATGAGTGGCATGGTCCAAGCTATTCTCTAATGGCCACCCGTATGATGATTCGACCCACACATCGAAGGTCAATTGGGTCGTTAAAAAGTACAGAATTTTCTACAACTGTTGATCCTTTTGATTTTTAGAAAACTTGTTTTTTTTTTCTCTCTGTATAATCCTTTTTTGTCTTAACAATTGCGGAATAAAATGTAAAAGAATTGAATAGAATTTGTATGGCATTAATGTTATTATAAAAGTGGTAAAAATTTTGTTGTTTTAAGGAAACTGTACCTATAAGTCAATCCTATTTCGTTTTTCATTCTCTAAAAATTCCGTATCCTGCATGTGAAAAATATTATTAACTCTAACACAAAGAATACTACTTTTCTGCTGGCGTAGCAATTGGAATACGTCAAACGATTATTCTTAAAGGAATTACATTAATTAATGACATTTTCTATGTTTTTGATTTTTAAAAAAAATCTTTTACTTGGTTTTAGAATAAATTTATTAATTAATTTATTATCTAAAACAACTAGAGGGTTTGAAAAAAGCACCATTAAAACGTAAAAATAGTTAAAATGCGAAACAAAAATTTTTTTTTTTTTTTTTTTTTTTTTTTTACTCAAGAGAAATATGATTAAACAGTTGACTAAAACGTTTTGCAGTTTTGAGATATTTAAACAATATATTTTTAATGCTGGCATTTTATGTTTACTTTCATAAATGCTGCATTAGAAATAGTCAAAAATTAAGAGTTGATGCAACGATATGTTTATAAGTTCAAAATGAAGATAAAACAAAGAAAAATTGTAGACATATGAAAAAAAAGGGGGGAAATAATAAGTAAAAAAATAACAAACAGTAGTTTAAAAAAAAAAAGGATGAAATCTTATTTTAAAAAAAACCGGGAAAAAAAAGATATAATCTTTTCATCACCCCACATGATTATATCCGCAAAACAGAGTGCCTTTTGATATTGTATCAATAAAGCCAAAGCAAAATATATTAATACAATAGTGTGAGGAGCACTCATGATTTTTTTTACAAAAATTACAACAAATAAAATAGAACACAAAAAGTAAAAATAACATGTAACAACAGAGAATGAAATAACTTATTGTTTTTCTTAACTTTCTTCGTGTTTTCTTGTATATATATATATATATATATATATATATATATATATATATATATATATATATATATATATATATATATATATATATATATATATATATATATATATATATATATATATATATATATATATATATATATATATATATATATATATATATATATATATATATATATATATATATATATATATATATATATATATATATATATATATATATATATATATATATATATATATATATATATATATATATATATATATATATATATATATATATATATATATATATATATATATATATATATATATATATATATATATATATATATATATATATATATATATATATATATATATATATATATATATATATATATATATATATATATATATATATATATATATATATATATATATATATATATATATATATATATATATATATATATATATATATATATATATATATATATATATATATATATATATATATATATATATATATATATATATATATATATATATATATATATATATATATATATATATATATANATTAAAATTAGGAAATATATATATATATATATATATATATATAAATTTCAGGAATGCTGTGCTTATAGAGCTCAGAACATTGAAGTACTTCATTGCACTAGGCTCACAGAGAATGACAAATTATTAAGAATATTTTCGTAAAAAAAATACATTATGCAAGTTGTAATGACACAGACTGTAATTTTTAAAATTATATTTTATATTTATGTATATTAATAATTACATTGTGGGATATTGAATTTCAATTTTTTTTTAATACAGAAGTAGCTCCACCCCCTGCTCCACTAACCCGTGTGATACCTATAACTCTTGATTGTTTTCTTAAGTAAAAGTCGATTGTCTCCACAAATAAAGAGGGCTTTTTGTTAGTATATATATTTTTTAAATTTATTTAACACGCTTTTTTTATTATGTGCTCATAGTAAAATAATGCATAATTACCTGGTTTTAAACGTAATTAAATGTTCTCGAAAAAAAAAAAGAAGCAAACTTGAATTTCATGTTGCGCGATTCAAAGAGAAAAAATAAATGAGAAGTAATTTATATTTTAACGAAAACTTTACGTCATTATAACAGTTTAATTTCGTTATAATGATGATTATTATTTTTTTATTATGATTTTTATTGGTATATATAATTATACATATTTTATAAGATTATGTATATTATTCTTATTTTTGCTATATTATTTATTCTCTATTTGTTTTTGCTTTTATTTCATTATTTTAGTTTTAATAATAAAAGTGCTTTAAATAATTAATTCCTTCGTAGGAAATTTTTCAATTTTTATTTTTATGTTCAATTATTATTTTTAAAATTAATAATGATTCAAATAGGTTTTTATGAATTACAATAGATGGCGCAGTCTGATAGTCAATTCTGATATTTTATAATTTTGAGAATGAGTCGGTTAGCATTTATTTTCCATGCACTTAGTGGTGCCATCTAGTGTTTTATTTTTAGTTTCAAAAATCTTTTTTAATGCCAACCTCTCTTACCTGCTATGACCAAATAATTAGATAAACATAGAAAAAAAGCGTGTATTTAATAGGTTTTTAATTATTTCTGTGGATGTTTGGTTAGATTTACAATTTCAATTAACGATCGCAGAATAGTTAGGGTTACTAACATAAAGAAAACAAAATAAATGACTGATCAATAACAAAATTTAATCTGTTTTTAGTCTTGTCTGATAGTGGTATCTCATTCTTTTAAATTAGTATTTTTTCTTAAATACACTTAAAACGAAAAAAGAAAGAAAATGTAAATAAACACAATGTTTTTTGTTGTTGTTAATTGTCATATCAACGTATTAAAAAGGCGAATAGTTGAAAGATTTCATTTTCTTACAAGGGAGCTCTATCCTCTGCTCGTTTTGGTCACCGTCTTCTACAATTGCTTCGTAATCATTTTTGTTTCTTAAGGACTATTAAATCATAATCAAAAATTATTAAATTAATCCCACAATTTTATATTACATTAATACAGATTTAATTTCACAGATTTTGATTTAATTGGGAATTTAATTAAACTTAATATTATTATAATTATTTACACTTAATATTGTTAAATTTATTTACACTTAATATTATTATATTTACTTACACTTAATATTTTTTTCGTTAAATATTTAATTTAAATCGTTGAGCAAACTACTCATCTTTGGGTAAACTATAAATATCCGTCTCCATAGTCTTGCTATTTTGCCCCATTCTATTTGACAAAAGAAGTCCTTAGTCAAACATTGGGACAAATCAGCGTATGTGGAACTCGTTTTGCTGGAAATTACCAGTATCTGCGTTACATGGAGAGGAAAACCACGCTAACCTTCCACTCTTACTTGATCCAATATCCGTCTGTAACAGAGCAGTGCCGTGCAGTTCGGCCCTCGGGGCCTTGAGGCTCAAATTTTTGGCCTGGGCCCTGTCTAAAACTTTCTGAATTCCATCTTTAATCGCCATTTTAGCCATTTATGCATCATGTTGTGGCGCATACATCCAATGCTGCCGATCTAAGATATCACACAGAGGAAATTTGACTCGACAAAAAAAAAAAAAAAAAAAAAAGCTATTCATGTTGTTCACTCATGCCCTTTGTCCACTTTTTCCCCTAAATATAATGCTAATCTTAAAATGCCAATTTCATAAAAATCTCTTGAATCTGGTCACTATATTGTTAGTAAGGTCCTTTCGAAGCAATCCACTAAAAAATTAAAATTATTTATTAGTTTCAAATCTAAAAAATTCAGCACACGTTATGGAAATTGAATGAAATTATGAACTTTTTTATAGGCACATATGCCCACGTTTTAAAAATTCAAATTAAAAAAAATCTATCCAGAAATTTTTTCTTTAGATACATCCATTAAAAAAAAATGAAGTTGCATTGCTTCAATATGTACAGGGCCCTAAAAAATATAACTATATTTTGAAAAGAATTCATTCTTGAATATTTTGCTCATTGAAACTTCTGATAAGACAGAATGACAAATATATCCATTAATACATGTCATGTAATCATGTATGACAAGATATTAATACTTTTTTTTTAATATTCTGAAACGAAAAAGGAGAAAAGTCAAAGCTTTTTTGCTAATTAAAAAAAAAATATTTTTTATTGTTTGTCATGACAAAGAATTTTAATCACTTCGGATTTCTAAGCTGAAAAATACAATAACTTTGAGCAAAACAATTTAATGAATATCTTAAACATTGATTACACTAAAGATCAGCTTCACGATTAAAAAAATATACAAATCTCAAAACTGTAAAAAAAAAGGCAGAAGAAAGGGGAAAGCTGAATATAATTAAAACAATCTTAAGTGAAATGTATTTCTCCTCTTGTTCCAGTTTAATTTATCGGTTTTTAAATCGAAATTGCCATGCTTAAAACGAAAAGTAAAATTAATTACTTGATAAACAGAAATGCTAAAATTTTGAAGAAACGATAAATTATGATTCTGATAATCGGAAATATTTTTTTTCTCTTCGTATTTATAGTTCGTATTTATTCCTTCTTCGTATTTATAGTTTCAATATTATATTTTTCAAAAATGTATGCTTTAAAATCAGAAAAATAATGCATGAAAAAAATTCTCAAAAAGTTAATTAGCACAAAATAATTACCTAAATTATCCTATAAGATTTTGATTTATAAATTGAGCTCGACGCTAACCTCCCTTTCCCAAAAGTCACGGAAAAAAACCATCCCATTCGTAAAAATATGTTTTTTTCTTTTTTTTTTTATAATTAAAGTAGCTCTTATTACTGATGATAATAAAATTTTATAGAATTTTTTAAGGAAACTTTTGTATTGAAAATATTTCTTTGTTATGTTAATTGTTTAAATTATAAGTTGGGGTTAATTTTTTTTATTAAAATAAAAATGAACTTTGTTTATATACATTATTGTTGGTGCAGAAAAACATTTTATGTTTTTTATTTCAAATAAAAGAGAACAAATGCGTAACTTATTTGGTTCTTCAGCTCTGTTCTACGTAATGTGGTAATCATATAAGATAAAATTAAAT